ACCAGCTCAATTTAACATCTAATATCTGTTCCCTTCTTTGCACCATTTCTTTTTGTAAATGGTGGCTCAAAGATTAGAATAGAATAGAGCTGGAAGAGACCTTGAAGATCTTCTAGACCAGCCCCCTGCTCAAGCAGAAGAGCCTATACCATCTCAGACAAGTGGCTGTCTAGCCTCTTCTTAAAACTCTCCAGTGATGGAGCACCCACAATTTCTGTGGGCAAGCTGTTCCACTGGTTAATTGTCCTCACTGTCAGGAAGTTTCTCCTTAATTCCAGGTTGTTTCTCTCTTTGGTCAGTTTCCAACCTTTGTTTCTCATCCTGCCCTTTAGTGCTTTGGAGAATAGTTTGACCCCCTCTTCCTTGTGGCAGCCCCTCAAATACTGGAACACTGCTATCCTGTCTCCCCTATTTCTTCTTTTCTTTAGACTAGACAGACCCAAGTCCTGCAGCCGTTCTTGGTATGTTTTCATCTCCAGGCCTTGGATCATCTTAGTTGCTCTTCTCTGGATTTTTTCCATACTCTCAACATCTTTTTTTGTGATAGGATGACCAAAATTGGCTGCGCTATTCCAGGCATGGTCTCACTAGGGCTTTGTAAAGTGATACTAATACCTCGCATGATCTTAATTCTTTGCTTCTGTTTATACAACCCAGGACTGTATTAGCTTTTTTGCCTGCTGCTGCACACTGTTGGCTCATAATCAAGTGATCATCCAATAGGACTCCAAGGTCCTTCTCACAATTACTGTTTTAAAGCCAGGTCTTACCCAATCTGTACTTGTACCTTTGATTTTTCCTACCTAAATGTAAACCTTTGCTTTTCTCCACATTGAAACTCATTATGTTGGATAGGGCCCATTGTTCAAGTTTGTCAAGATCTTTTTGGATCTTGAGTTTGTCTTCTGGAGTGTTGGCTACTCCTGCCAGTTTGGTGTCATCTGCAAATTTGATGAGTTCCCCTTCAATTCCCTCATCTAAGTCATTGATGAAGATATTGAAGAGTCCTGGGCCTAAGATGGATCCTTGTGGTACCCCAACTGCTTACTTCTCTCCATGTGGATGTAGTGACATTGAGTACAGTTTGCCAACCAGCTACAGATCCATCTGGTGGTGATGTTGTCTATTCCACCTTTTTCTAGCTTACCAAGCAGTAGATTGTGGTCTACTTTATCAAATGCCTTACTGAAGTTTAAGTATACTACATCCACAGTATTTCGCTGGTTTACTAGTTTAGTCACTTTGTCAAAGAATGAAATAAGATTGGTTTGGCATGATCTGTTTTTAACAAAGTTGTGCTGGCTACTAGTTATAATTTTGTTTGCTTCTAGTTGTTTGCAGATCTGTTTTTTGATTATCTTTTCTTGGGTCTTCCCAGGTATTGATGTTAAACTGTTTGGTCTGTAGTTTCCATGGGTCCGTTTTTCTCTCGTTTCTTCAAGATGGGAACCACATCAGCCCTTTTCCAATCCTCAGGTACTTCCCTGGCACTCCAGGATTTATGAAAGATGTGGTGCAATGGTTCTGAGATAACATCTGCCAGCTCCTTCAGAAATCTGGGATGTAATCTGTCAGGCCCCGGTGATTTATATTAGTCAAAGTCAGATAGGTGTTCTCTTATCATTTTGTTGCTTATTTTAATTTTTGTTTCTAATTTGTCTTTTGCAGTGGTTTATTTTGGTAGGTTGGGCTACAGTTTCTTTTTGGGTGAAGACTGATGCAAAGTATGAGTTAAGCAGCTCTGCTTTCCCCCTGTTGCCTGTTATTGGAAATGATTTTATTTATAACAAAACCAATCCAGAACAATCGATACGTATCCTCGCCTTTATGTTTTCTTTATTTGGCTTCTTACTTCTGCTTTCCAAACATCTTTGGTGGGAAAATGATCTATCTGCTTAAAGTTGTCCAACGTCTCCAGACACATGGCATTGATTTCCTGTTTTGGAACGTGGAAGGACATGGGTTTTTTTCCCCTTTCAATGAGATTCCCCCATGGTGATAGTTTCTAAGCAAAGCAAAGAGGCAGAAGTTGAATAAATAGCAAACTGGGAGAAAAGGTTCCACAAGGGTTCATCATTCAGCGTCTGTCTGGAGTTCCTTCTCATTTTCTCACTAAAAAATGCTGTTCAGAAGGATGTATTTCTTTAGATCAAGATGGAGCTCTTGTTCCTGACATTAAGTCTCCAGGGGAAATGTATTGCATATTGCTTGTTAGTTGACCTCCTCAGTCAATGCCCATATACAAAGATCTGCAACTGTAGGAAACACAACTTCATCTCCTCCTTCTGTGTCCTACTGAATCCTCCTCCTCCTCCCCCTCCTCCTTTTAGTGGTTTCAGTGATAACGGCAGACTGGGTGGGACTAAAAAGTTCAATCAATCAATTCCAACTTTGCGAGATATTTTTTCCCCCACGAGAAGTTGAAATTGACTGATTGATTGAACCTTTTTTTTTTTTTGTACACGGCGGAGGCCTAAAGCAAAAAGGTTTTATAAAACCCAGCTGAAGGCCTAGGACTGGGGCGATGGCACGCATGCCCACAGAGAGGGCTCTGAGTGCCGCCTCTGGCACCCGTGCCATAGGTTCGCCACCACTGCCCTATGCCATTCCGAACAAATAGTTATCCAATCTCTTCTTTAAAACTTCCAGTGTTGGAGGACCCACAGCTTTGAATCCAGGTCTTTCTTGGAGCTGACAGACAAGGTGCAAGGAGTGGGGGGGGGGTAAAAAAAAACACCCTCTCCTGAAAGAAAGGAACAATGTTTGCTGTGTCTTTCTGAACTCGTCGGAGCAAATGCATCTTTGGACTTATTTTAAATAATTAATCTTGATTAGACACCAAAGGATATTCTCTTCTTGTGCAAAAACTGTCATCAACAGGGGAAGCACTGTCTGATTAGTAGAGGTGAACTCTTTTATTCATGGCTGGGGGCTAAATGCAGAGTGCCTGATTTTCTTCAAGGTTCCAATTTGCCTTCTAAAATCTGAATTACTTGGGGGGGGAGGAAGGGCAAAGAGATAAAGGAGAATCTTCACTTTGTAATGTATTGAAGATCTACGTAGATCTCACTTTCCAAGAGGTAGGAAGACATCAAAGGATGATAGTCAGAGACCTTGGGACCACATACAGGTAGTCCTCAACTTATGACCAAACACTTAGTGACCGTGTTCAGAGTTACAACAGAAACCCCCCCAAATGGGACTTACAACTCCCATATTGTCAGAATTCATCCCAACCACAAACATCGATGCATTCACACAGGACTGAACGAACAAGGTTTATTTCAATTCAGCTTGCTAACTATGGGGTGGAAACACACTTTGGATAGACTCAGAAATGGAGATTTAGAAAATTAGAAGATTTAGGGGGGAAAAAAGTGCTGTGTTAATTTTGTACCCCATTTCTTACTCACTTAATTTTGTGCCTGGTCACTTGCTCGATTAAATCAGAACCCAATTTATAGCTTAATTAATTTGGAGTCTAATTTCCTAGCCTAATTTCAATTTGGTGGGACAGATCCCTCTGTTAATGCAGTCCAGCACTGTGTTGACTTTTTGGGCAGCTGCAGCACACGGCTGGCTCATATTTAAATGATTGTCCACTAGGACATCATTATTATTCTTAGCGTTCGATGGAGGCTTCTGAGAAATTCAACTTATTATGAGAATGAGGAGTCAGAAGGGCACCCGGGAGAAAGGCCACAAGGTCGGCGAGGCTACTGTTTGGCGATAGTCCATCTCGATATGACACAGAGATAGCTAATGGCTCTTTGGCCACCTGGCTAATGGCCGGCTTTACAAGAAAGGCCAGCTGCCTTGATCAACAAGCTCTTTTACTGGGGGTGTATGAGAACACCATCCACCCCTGCCCCAAGTGCAATCCTGGACCGTCATGCTCAAAATTAGCATCCTGTAATTTCATCCCGATCTTAATGAACCATCTGCTCAACGTCTTTCCATTCTGAGGACAACCCATAATGAATTTGGAATCTTGAACTATAGATAGGGGAGGACATGAGATACTCAATCCATACAGCAGCAGGTCCAAAAGAAAGAATATCTTCCCTCCCCCACAAAAACAATTCATCTTCCTTACATTAGCAGGACAGCCAACCCTGATATTCCAGTCCCCACTGGGCCATTTCTGTCATTTAAATAATCAACGTTTCATTAAAACATCTCGAGCGGAGTAATAACTCTCTGTCCATCCATCCAGTGAGCACCGCAATGGGAATTGAGTTAGTAGGATGCTACAGGTAGTCCTCAAGCGGGACCAGAATTTGCTTTGTGGAGCAAGGCAGTTGCTCAGCGAATTGCATGTGATTTGATGACTTTTTTGCTATGATTGTTAACCAGATAATCAGCTGATGGTGTTGCCTAGTTTGATTGTGAAATGTCTGCAAGAAAACCACCAAGCTCAGAGAGCACCAAGGACCCCACAATCCTCCTCCTCCTCCTTCTCCTTTCCACAAACCTGTCTCCCTTCTAGTCCTGATGATGTTGCCTAGTTGGGCTATGAAACATCTACAAGAAAACCACCAAGCTCAGAGAGAACCAAGGAGCCCACAGTTGTCCTCCTCCTCCTCTTCTTCTTCCTCCTCCTCCTCCTTTCCACAAACCGATCTCCCTTCTCGTCATGATGATATTACCTAGTTGGGCAACGAAACATCTGCAAGAAAACCACCAAGTTTTTTCTCTTCTACTGATAGTACGTCTCTATTTCTACTATGTCAAAATATTCTGAACAAGGCCTTACCTACTTTTGATTAAAAGACAGGGGTTTTTTTCTCCTACTGTTCCATTCAGGAAAAAAAGAAGAGGTAGGGATGGTCTATTCAACCATTTGATTCCTATACAGGCAAAGCCATCATTTTGCTGCTATTTAATCTATTTTCAACTCGCATCTCATTCAATTAAGTTTTCATATTGTTGACATCAACACGCTGCTCCGAAGACAGATTGCAAAAGCCAGAAAAATAAGACCCATAAATAAATGCTAGGGTATTCAGATTTTAGTAAAAGGCTACAGGCAGGCTTTTTTTTTTTTTTTTTAAGAAAATCCTTGAACACATCTACTGTATTCAGCAACACAACGGGAAAAAAAACCATATACAATCCGGAATGATGAACTATTGAAAATAAAAATGTATGGCTTATTCACATTGAATATACATGCATATATATGCATGCTTTTAACCCTGTATATCACAAACTCAAAATACAAACAAGCTCAAGCAACACACACAAAAAATAGAGGATTAAATATAGCTTTCTTTTTTAAAAAAAAAAGTACTGGAAGAAGGATTCTTAATACAGTGTCTTCTTAGTCTAAACCCTATCTGGTGTTTGAAAGGATTTTAATTTTTGTTTAAATATTTAACAGATATCTAAATGCATGAAAGTTGATGGAAATTGAACTATTATAAGCAAACACATTTATCCTGATTTCAGAAATTAGCTTAACTTTCTGAGTTTATATACAACGCACTGATTTCTAAAGTAACCAACAGGATAAGCCACAAAATGTTCAACCTAAATGGGACTTGCCCAACTTTAGCATGTTGAATGAATACTACTGCAAAGTCTTTAATTGTAAGCAGGTTGTAAGAGCAGAGTTAAGTATCATCTAAATCATCATGAATTTTAACCATGATTAGTTCAATTTAACCTTGATTAGTTCAAGCTGGAATATGCAACCCCTGTCCTAAGGGTAATCAAAAAACTAGAGCTTCCTGCTATCACTAATATTGATGAGAGTGCCAATGTACTAAATTATGGTGAACACCCATAGGGAAAAAGATCAGTGAAAGAGGAGTTAATGGGTCATCATAAAACTTCTGACAATGGTTCATATCTGCCCCAGAATCAGACCACAAGGTGCCTCATTTGGTAGGTAGCTTGAAGATGGGACCACATCAATGCATAACTTCTGCCTTCTGTGAAGATCAAGAAATTACAGAGCTATGAAGCTATGTGAGATGGAAACTACCACTCCATCAAATCAAGGAATCAAAAGAGGACAGGAGGTTATGGGTCTTGAGATGGAGACTACAAATCCATAAAATCAAGAAGTCAAGAAGAACAGGAAGTTATGGGGCTATGAAGCTACTTGAGATGGAGACTACCACTCCATCAAATCAAGGAATCAAAGGAGGACAGGAAGTTATGGGTCTTGAGATGGAGACTACAATTCCATCAAATCAAGATGTCAAAGGAGGACAGAAAGTAATAGGGCTACAATGTTTTATGATATGGAGACTCCCATCTCATAAATTCAAGGGGTGAATTTCTAGTTTGGTTTAGTCTCTCCTTCCTACCTTTCATAACCAGGATAATAAAGATCAACTATCCTAGGATAAATTAGATAGACAACCAAGTTGGGTTATTTTCTACAATGACTTGATAATGCATCTTGAGGCCAACAGACAAGATCTTTCTAGCTTCATCTGAACATGCTTGGCTTTGAATTAGCATGAAAAGCCTGTGATCTTCCATGCAGCAATGACCTCTCTCTCTCTCTCTCTCTCTCTCTCTCTCTCTCTCTCTCTCTCTCTCTCTCTCTTTTTGTCCTGTTTGCTTCCACCTTTTTTAAGAAAGCAAGCTTCTAGTGCTTAAGACTGCCAAGATACATTATATTTAGGAAGTTCCTGGAACTTGATCAGCGAAGAAACTCTACTAGCGAAATCCATTAAAGGGAAGTGGTGAGACCTTGGTTGAATTAATCAAATGTTGATTTTCTTTCCAGAAGCTACAGCATTGCTGCAAGGCTGAAAAAAAAAAATCTATCCATCTGCTTATCGGGAGAAAGAAATAATTTTTTTTTTAAAAAATGACATCCGTGGATAATCACACAATTCCAGCTGCAGCCTGGCTGACACCTCAGAGTCATTTTTCTGTCTTGTTCGTTTCTGAGGAAGTGGATTGCTTGTTTCTTTTTATTTCATTTTGCTTTGTGGGGGGGGGGAGAATGTGGCTGTTTGGCATTCAAGTTTTATTCTGTCTGGCAAGATGGACAGCGAAGCAACTGTGATTTTTCAACAAAGGAGAAATCTGCTCGGTCTACAAACAGGATTCAGCTGAGACACTGAATCTCATCTGGGAAAGTAGGAGGGTTCTGTATAAATGTTTCCCCCCAGGTGAGATAAAAGCTTCTTGCAATGAAATGAAGCTCCGGGTGTCCATCACAACCAGGATAATCCGGAGAGCCACCAAGCAAATATACTTGAGGCTCAAATAGAACATCTGCTATTTCTGCTGGCCTCCAGGCCAAGATCAGAAAAATAAGAGCTGGATTCCATCACCTTTGCTTCTGCAGTGTTTGCAAAGGCAGTGTTTGAAGTTGGACATTTCCTGGTGCAGCTTCTCCTTTGTATCCTTCACGTAGGTGTCTGCAGAGCTGGTCAAGAGTTCTTCAATGTTAGGGTCATGAGAAAATGTAGCTTTGCGGATCCAGAGATCCTCCTGGAGTTCTCTTTCCCACAAATATTCCTCAGCTTCATCTCTGCCAGTGCTTAGAGGACCATCCAGTGTAAAATGTCCCTTGCCTATTCCGTAACTAGTCCTCCCAGCCCAGAGGAGAAAAAGCTGGAAGTATGGATTCAGTCCAATGGGCAGTTCTGCCCCCTCCTCAATTTAGCAGGAAGGAAGTCAAGAGGAGTGAATTCTCAGAGAGTAATAGGTAGTCAGGCGATGAATCAAAGATCCTGAGGACCGTGGCTTGCTTGGGTATCGGAAGGAAGAGTCAACAAGGGTCAATGTCAGACAGCGGAAAGATCCATCTTGTTGCCAGAATCACTGCTTTTGTCATTAGTGTTGAGTTTGGTTGCCGTGGTTGCAGGCCTGGTCACAGTTATCTGGATTGAGAAAGAAAGAGTTTGGATAATCGATGGAGCATTAAAGGAGAATATCTGTAGCTCATGGTGCTCTCTGAGTTTGGTTGTGTCTTGCGGATGATTCATTACCCAAACTAGGTAACATCATCAATGTTAGTGATGTTACCTAGTTTGTTGCCTCCCTAGGCACCTTGGAGGTCATCTAGTCCACCCCCCTGCTCAGGCAGGAAACCCTACCCCATTTCAGACCAATGGTTGTCCCATCTCTTCTTAAAAACCTCCAGTCTCATTGGAATAAACCTGGATTGGTTCCCAACTGGATTCAAGTGTTGGAACGGTATAGGGCAGTGGTTCTCAACCTGTGGGTCGGGACCCCATTTGGGGTCGAACGACCATTTCACGGGGGTCGCCAAACAAGGCTGTCCGCCATTTTTTCCCCCTTTTCTTTGGCCACGCCCCTGGCACCCAGTGATATATAAGTGGTTGGGGGTCACCACAACATGGGGAACTGTATTATGGGGTCGCGGCATTAGAAAGGTTGAGAACCACTGGTATAGGGCCTCCTGCTTGAGCAGGGGCTGAACTAAAAGACCTCCCAGGGTCCCTTCCAGCTCTATTATTCTGGATCATCAATAGTAATGATTGAAACCAGCAGGTAGGTATGGAACAGGACAGGTTGGAGGAAGCGGAGGGTGGGAAAAGGACCTTTTTCAGATTTCATTTTTGGGGGAAGATACCAGACGGAGGGCTTCTAGCAATACTTACAATGTCAGAATTGAAAGGTTTCACATTGACGTTGCGGATGGAACTGCTGGTCAGCGACCACACCTTCGTTTTGTGCTTAAAGGCGGCTCTGACCTTGGAAGGGAAGGGAAAAGATGTCCCAGGTTAGGAAGATATGAGTGTCATGGTTCCGGCTAATGAAAGACTTCAAAGAACTTCCAGGCATTGATTTCCCTAAAAGTCTTTTATTGCTTCAAAATGGCGGCACAGGCATAACGAAGTCTATGCTAAGATCTAAGTTCTCTTCCTCTGAGCAGTTAAATTATCAGCATGTTCCCTCCCTAAATTAGCTGTCATATATCACAGTTATCCAATCAGTGTGAAGGTCAAAGGTTTCCTTCCTCTCTCTTATGCTCTGCATTAACTCTAAAAATACCAGACAGTTCTGCATATTGTCAAAGCAAGAATGTACAGTATTTGCAGTTTTGACAATGAGCTCTGAGGCTACCTCGGAAGTCTCAATTCCCTGGCTTTTCCCATCAGGTGGATTTGTTTTCCCTTCCTTTTTTTTTTCAGCACCTTTGTAACTTTGAGTGGTGCCTAACCACATGGTCGTCATAAGTCAAGGATTCGTTGTCGTGACTAAGGCAATGAAACGAAGCATTCTCCCAGAAACCTTCCTATCCTAATCAAAAAGACGAGGACTTTGTTCATTCTCCTCCACCTTTGTCCTGTTTCCAAATCCCGGGAATGGAATTTCACCACTAGGCTCTAAGTGCTTCTGCAGAACTCACGTGTCACGGATCTCTGAAACGGCACCATTCATTCAACCTACCTATCCCTCAAGTCAAGGGTAGGCCACCTTGGCTCTTTTATGACTCGTGGACTTCAACTCCCAGAATTCCTGAGCCAGCATGGGGGAACTATGGCTCCCTTTATGACTTCTGGACTTCAACTCCCAGAATTCCTGAGCCAGCATGGGGGAACTATGGCTCCCTTTATGACTTCTGGACTTCAACTCCCAGAATTCCTGATCCAGCCATGCTGAGGGGAAAGGGAGGGATTTCCAAGCGGAGCCATGCTAGCTCAGGAATTCTGGGAGTTCAAGTCCACGAATCAGAAAGAGCCAAGGTTGCCTACCCCTGCCTCAACCCTTCGGATCAAATTGATTCCAATGAATTGGTCCTCAACAAGCACACCTCCAGCTGAATGTAACTCCAACTGTGATACCCCCAGCTGAGCCCAGATGGGGAAGTTTGCATTGCAAATATTGCCATTGACAGTTCAGAAGAGCAATTATGTAGAGATACGGCAGCTCTGTAACAACGTTTGGCTGCAATTGTGTTGGTCTCAGAGACAGCTGGTGGGTTAGAAATTCCTGGGTTAGGGAATCAAAAAGGAACACGCTGAATAGATCCGCCTACGTGTCTTAATTGCCATATCAGCCAGAAGCAACTATTGTGGCACTCAGTGGTGATATGCAAGCAGCCTTCTTAGAATAGCAGCGTATAATTTCCCCCTGTTGTCCAATTGGGACCTAAATGACCTTTTAATGAATACCTGAAATTGTCTCTATTCTTTCAGTCTCTCTTCGGGGATGCTCACCAGCAGTGGAGGAGAAATGAGATCTAAGTGGGCAAAGGGATGGAGAAGAAGGATGGGCTGCATCCAGGGAGGGGAACAATCAGAGAAGGACATTTCTCTCTCACTGTCTTTCTTCAGCATTGGTTCATGTTGGCAAAAAGAATAAGGTTGGGCTAAAATGTGTTTAAAAAGCCAGTTTGGTGTGGTGGTGAAGACATCAAGCTAGACCAGAGGTCTTCAAACTTGGCTCTTTCGTGACTTGTGGACTTCAACTCCCAGAATTCCTCAGCCAGACACATTTCTCTCTCACCATGAGAGAGAACCACCGTGAGGTAGTTCATGTTGGCAAGAAGAATAAGGTTGGGCTAAAACCTGTTTATAAAGCCAGTTTGGTGTGGTGGTGAAGGCATCAAGCTAGACCAGGGGTCTTCAAACTTGGCCCTTTTATGACTTGTGGACTTCAACTTCAACCAAATCTGGGAACAATTTTATGATTGGATAGACAATAAGAGGGTAGCCAAGACAAATGTATAGTGTTAGAATAAAATACAGATTATAGACAAATGTATATTTAAAAGATAAATAGAAGCTTCTTCAGTTCTGAAGAAGAAGCTTCTTGGATGAGAAAGGAAATGCAATGTCCAGCTGCTTTTTTGAAAAAGCAACTTTAGGACGTAGTTATGAGTTCTTCCAATCTTTGCATCTAAAGGAAAACATCCTAGTGGCTTTGTTCAGCTGCAGCATTCAGACTCACTCATATTTTCTTAAAAACCCTGATATGTTTTGGCTGTGAAACAGTGCAGGCCATGGAGTTGCCAATCCCGGGTTTACACAACCTTGGAAACATGAAGTTGTCTTTGCCCTAGCTGTGGCTACGATTGTGTTCTCAAAAGTAGACTCGGCCAGGAGAAAGAAGCGCTTAAGGGTAGGGCAAAAACTCCGTTTGATTGAATTTGCTCATAAATGCAATCCAAATTAAATTCCGTTCACCAATTCAGTGCAGTTGACATGGTTACCCCTGACATAATTAATGAAGTCCCTTCTGGCATTTTTAGAGGATAATTGGGTGGTAATATTTCAAACGAACTAAGCTACACCATGAGCTTTGATTTAACCAGATAAAATAAAGTCGGGGGGGGGGGGAAATCCTGGTCTATGAGCAGTGGCTGTTTGTTTTAACGCTTGGAGTCCTTGACAGACTACTTTTCTGAAAATGCCATAAATTGTGGGGATGACAGCTAAATATACCATTCTATAAACTATACGTGTTCTGTAACAAAAGAAAAGATATTTCCCCTAAAGCCTTGTAATTAAATGGCCCCGTTCTTCTAGCGTAATGGCTGTGTTACGGCATAAACTTTAAATCAATGTATTTTTTTTTCCCCACGAAAGGGATGCATAAGGATAGTCTTATTCCAGCATCAATTGGACTTTATTGCCTGGAACGGGGTAGAGATGGGAACATACCTCTGAGTTCAGGAGGCAATGGAACAGAAAGATGAAAAAACCCTGAAATGATAAAATCAAATTATTATTTTTTTTTAAAAAAAAAAGAAAGTCAGAAAGGACATTTCGAACTACGACAGTTAAGGAAGGAAATATATATACATTGAAAGATTTATGAGGTCAGTGACTTGATCACCACTCTTGACTATGAATAATGTACAACAACAACAACAACAATAACAAAATCATATGTTGATGAGTTGCTGATGAGTTGCTGTAGCTAGGAGAAGGCAAGTGCCTGAATTGCCAGTGTCGGTTAAGAAGCAACGGAGGGAAACTAATCAAGGAGAGAAGCAACCTAGAACTAAGGAGAAATTTCCTAACAGTGAGAACAATTAATCAGTGGAACAACTTGCCACCAGAAGATGTGAATGCTCCAACACTGGAGTTTTTAAGAAGAGATTGGACAACCATTTGTCTGAAATGGTATAGGATTTCCTGCATGAGCAGGGGGTTGGACCAGAGTCATGATGGTGTTTCCTAGTTGGCCAATGAAAAGTCTGCAAGAAAACAACCAAGCTCAGAGAGCATCAAGGACCCCCCCCCCCAGATATTCAAATGGGAATATTTTTGCAACGGGATCCCTTTTTCCCTTTTAACAAATCTTGTTAAAGAAAACCGTGAGAATCTTGCACTTTTGTTGTAAAAGGTAAATGTTTCCATTGTTCAGTCACATTTGATGCGAGGGCACTGTGCTCACGAGTGTTTCTTGGCTGAGTGAGCCAGCGTTGCCCGAAGACGTTCTCTGTGGTCCTGTGGCTAGCATGGCTATCTGCCAAGGACACATGGAGCACTGTTACCTTCCTGCTGAAGTACCTATTTATCTGCTCACATTTGCATGTTTTCAAACTGTTAAATGGGCAGGAGCTGCAGCAAGGAATGGGAACTCATCCCATTGCGTGGAGCTCAGGACTCAGACCCGGATTATCAACTGACAAGCTCAGAATCTTTAACCGCTGAGCCATCTCACCCTTGACATTGGTTGTAGGCCACTGCTAAAGATTTGGCAATTGCTCCACCTGACTAGATAGAACATCTAAGCCATTTTGTCCCCCAGCAATGCCACTGGTTGCATTCAAATATAACACACATATGGATTATTATTATTATTATTATTAATAATAATAATAATAATAATAATAATAATAATAATAATAATAATAATAATAATAATAATAAAGTTGGAAGGGACCTTGGAAGTCATCGAGTCCAACCCCCTGCTCAGGCAGGAAACCCTATACCATTTCAGACAAATGGCTGTCCAGTCTCTTCTTAAAAACTTCCAGTGTTGGAGCATTCACTGCTTCTGGAAGCAGGTTGTTCCACTGGTTAATTGTTGTTTCAGAAAGTTTCTCCTTAGTTCTAGGTTGCTTCTCTCCTTGATGAGTTTCCACCTGTTGCTTCTTGTCCTGCCTTCAGGTACTTTGGAGAAGAGCTTGACTCCCTCTTCTTTGGGGCAGCCCCTGAGATACTGGAACAATGCTATCATGTCCCCCCTCGTCCTTCTCTTCATTAAACTAGACATCCCCGATTCCAGCAGCCGTTCCTTCTATGTTTTAGGCTCCAGTCCCCTAATCATCTTTGTTGCTCTTCTCTGTGCTCTTTCTAGAATCTCAGCATCTTTTTTACATCGTGGTGACCAAAACTGGATTCCAGGTGTGGCCTTACCAAGGCATTGTAAAGTGGTATTAACACTTCATGTGACCTTGATTCCATCCCTCTGTTAATAAGCTTAACGATTAGGTTACCTTACTGCGTTAGATACAACAAAACCCATGATGGCATCTTGAGGGGTGTGTACACCCAGCTGTACATACCTGTAATGAGTTAAATATTGCAAACAAATACTGGAACACCAAAGCTCGTTCATTCACTGCCAGGACCCCAAAGATCCATGAACTTCCTAAGATGGGTAGGAGAACAGCAACCGCTTTAGCTGTCAATCTGTAGGATACAAAGAACAGGTTTTAACCCCTTGTGTTCATCTGTAATGTTCAGGGTTTTTGTTTTAAGCAGAAAGAAAACCTAGCAGCGCTCTCTACATGTTATGGGTTGCAATGAGCATAATAAGGCACCGTAGCTGGAGGATGAATGATTTGATTGATTTATACGGTACATAAGAGAAAACTGGTTCCAGAAGGAGATTGCTAATAACATTCTGTGTAAAATCAGAAGGGAACAAAAACGTAACATTATTTATACCCAAGTTTCTTTGGCCTTAGCCGGCATATAAATTAAATCAAGGTCCTTTGAATGGCAGTCCTAATCGAACAAGCCTTGCTACAGTTCTGGAAGTTTCGGTGAAGGTTGCGCAATTGATCTCTGAGCAGAAAAAGGCTTCAGACAAATCGTGATTAGGAATCTGGTTCATCACGAAGTCTCAAGAGTCTTTCTTCTACACCAAGGAGGGCGTGTCCGATCCACCACCTTCAGTTTGGCACCTCGCTGGCATTCTGCCATGAACCGGGGAAGGGAGAGGGGAACAAAGGGGCAAGAAAGCCGTATATCTTTGTGATGGGAATTTGGGAGAGGGAAATTGATGGTTGAGGAAGAACGGAGAATTTGGGGATCTGGTCCTGGCCAGCATCTTCAAGGCCGCGTCCCCTGAGAACGGAATTTCGCCAGCCCAAACACCTCAGCGCTACCCAAAATATCTCGACGGTGCCAGATTGGGCACACAGGGACGGACTATAGGGAGAGGTCTGGGGGGGGGGGACCAAAGGGTTTGCTTTGTACTGATGTGCGGGAACTTCAGATTCTGCCTGACTCTACTGCAATCAGCCTCTTTTAGTAAAATGCCTTTTTCACTTCAACCAAATTTTTGAGGGTTTTACTTTCCTAGGAGATCACACTGGGGCAGGTCTGACAAGGAGAGCTGGGAAGGGCCTTGGTTGATCCTGAAAAGTCTACAGGGTTTCCTGCTTCAGCAAGAGAGTTGAAGACCTCCAAGGTCCCTCCCAATTGTTATTCTTACCTTCTGCATTTGGATGCAGGACCACGGGAATCCTATGAACGTTGGACTAGAAGATTGAAAAATGTGTCCTTTAAGAATGTGACAGGGAGCCACGGTCATGCCACAGCCAAGTAAACAAGATGTTTCTGGCTCCTTCAAAGTCAACCTCAACCCAAGGGAGATTCTCCTTGGGCTTCTAATAGGAAAACAAGCTAAAGTGATGTGCCAAGATGCACAGCTGTTTCTCTAACAGATAAAATCTGTTTCCTCATCTGTACCTAATCCAATCATGCTGATGCTCCTCCTCAAGACATCCCACTGGGTCTCTTGAAGAGATTGCGAAGAAGGTGTCCTAGATGACCTTCTCATCCATCACCATGCTGTCCACAGAGAGTTCATCTAAGCCAAGAGCAATGTTTGCTCTTGAATATTTTTCAAGAATATATTTCAGATGTCTGTGGAATATAACACCCCCCCCCCCCGGTGTTCACGGTCACAATGAGCATTGACCATGCTAGTTGAGTGCTGAATGGTTTGTCAGTTCCCTCAAGGACTGGGAGTGCATGTTTTACCATGAGAGAGAGCCAGTTTGGTGTAGAGGTTGAAGCAGCAGGCTAGAAAGTGGGAGACTTTGAGTTCTAGTCCTGCTTTAGGAACAAAGCCAGCTGCATGACCTTAGGTCAGTCAACCCAAGCCAGAAAAAGTCAAGTCAATCACTTCCAAAATCCTGCCAAGAAAATTGCTGGGACTTGTCCAGGCAGTTGCCAGAAGTCAAGACTAGCTCAAAGACCCCAAAATAAATAAATTTATCATGAGGCAATGCTGCCCTATTGATTTTCACAACTATGATAATAACAGATGACTTCTGGAGCCTTTGCATCTGCATCACCACACATGGACCATTCTCGTTTTTAAAAAGCTAGAGGTGTCTTCTGTGCATTTTAACTGAGATCTGAACATTTTAAGAATCGTCAATTGAGAGGTCAACTAGCCCACATCCTTGAAAGTTACACCTCACCCAGACTGAGCAGACTTTGGATAACTTTCTAGATGACCTTATGCTCCTATCCCAGAGATCTAGAAGACTTTAGATAACTATCTAGATCACCCTCTGCTCTTATCCTGGAGAGCTAGAAGACTTCAAATAACATTCTACATCGTCATTTGCTCTTATCCTGGAGAACTAGAAGTCCTTAGGTAATTTTTTAGATCAGTCTCTGACCTTATCCTGGAGAACTAGAAAACTTTAGATAACTTTCTAGAACAGTGGTTCTCAACCTGTGGTCGAACGTCCATTTCACGGGGGTCGCCAAACAAGGCTGTCCACCATTTTTCCCCATTTTCTTTGGCTACGCCCCTGGCACCCGGTGATGTATAAGTGGTTGGGGGTCACCACAACATGGGGAACTGTATTATGGGGTCGCCGCATTAGAAAGGTTGAGAACCACTGTTCTAGAACATCCTTTGCTCTTATCCTGGAGAACTAGAAGACTTTAGATAGCTTTTTAGATCATCCTATGTTCTTTTGCCCTGGATGCCGGACTCATTGGATTTTTGAAGGATCAGTGAAAATGGTTTTTGATCAACTGTTTGACAACCAAGGAAGGTATATTGATATATTCCGCTCAAAGTAGGGAAGTAATCAGTACCACTTCTATAATGGAGTCATTTTACAATGAGGACAGGAACATTAAATGGCTTTAAATCACCCATCGTGTTTTTTTTTTTTTAAATGCACGGGGTGCAATTATTCATCAGCTCTCTGAAAAACAGCCTCTTTAACTGACTGACAAACGATTATGAAACTGGAACTTTATCGTTCTCCTGCAAGCTTGTGGATTACCTGGCAGGGTTCGATTTATGTGTTTCCACTGCAGAAAAAAAATATACTGGTCACTCCTTGCTATAAGCATTACAATTGTGCAGGCCACTGACCCCAGTATATGCAACCTTGCATGCAGCCTGGCTCAAATCACATGGAGGTGACCCTGAGGGCACAGCTAAACCTCCACGTGGCCTCAACGACTCTCAGAAAGAGTACGAATGAGCAGACGACCGCAAGGAATATAAATCCTTCGGTCCTCCACCGTTCAGTCAGAACTGAAGAAGCTTCTTGGATGAGAAGTGAAACGTCTTCAAGGAAGAAATGTGGACAGACCCGACCCTGGGGTTCACCTACATCTTTGATCGGTTACCCACCACGACCGGGGGGAAATGTGGCTAAGAAGGATACGTGCGATTGTACACCTGCCCCACCTTTGCACTGTAATTGCCTTTTAGCCCCACCTTACCCTCCCCCATTTAGGCATAGCGTTCTGTACATGTTTAGATATTGAATTATTTCCATCCGGGGTTAAAAAAACAAAACAAAACCTGACATTAAAGCAAGTTCATTCACACTGAGCCCGGGAGAACATTTGGAAAGCGCACAAATTTTAATTAATCACATTTTTCGCCTCTATTAAAATTCCAAAGCAGCAATTCTCTCTCCTGAAAATTATTACCTACGGGGGCCCCCTCCCTGGGCTTTTACACATCCTGAATATCAAAGACCGGGAGACCATATGGTGTGTGTGTGTGTGTGTGTGTGTGTGTGTACTCCCCCCCCCTCTGCTGCAAAGTTTGCTGGATGTGCAGTTCTGTTGCAGCAAGCTTCTTTCTTATTGGCCAGATCGTTTATTATCGATCCACGGTCCGATTTAATGAATAAATGCCATTAAAACTTAAACCTCCCAAACTCAGATCATGCAAATCTTTCTCCAAACAGGGCAAAGCTGCTCAGCTAGACTTCTGCGTTCTTAAAAGCATATTGTATACTCTTTGCAAAAGCGTTATTCCGCTGAATTTAGGACTAAAAAAACAAAAAAATTCTGGGCTTCCCCTTTGAAAATTAAGCCTCCAACAGAAAGAAAGAACTCCTCTTTTTTTGGCTCAAAATATTCATCTTTTTTTTTAAAAAAATAAGAGGTGAAAGAAAAAACATGTTCTGCTCTTAAGCCGACCAACAACAACAACAACACACACACACACACACATACAGAGACAAAAAAAAATCAACCGCCCGCAATTACAACATTTTACTACTCCCACTCGTTGGAACAAGATGTGCTGGAATGGAAGTGAAATTTTGAAATAGTGGCTTTTATCCAAGAGCAATTGCGTTGTAGGGAAGAGTTGAAATTGTGCAAACAATATTAAAACCTCCTGCAAGCTCAGCTCAGCTCCCAGGGTTTGGTTTACAGATATTCCTCGACTTTTGAGCCCTGAATTTATTGTTGCTATGCGAGAGGCTTGTCGAGAGAGTTTTGCCCCATTTTAGGATTTTTCTTGACACCGTCGGTAAGTGAATCACTGCAGTTCTTAGGTTAGTAGTGTTTTGTTTTTGATAGTAATGGAAGTTGTGGCTGTGGCCTTTGTCAACAACTTCCAGCCTAGCTGATTGCCCTGAGATTTTTTTTTGCTGGTTTCCCTTCCGAATACTTGGGAAAAACCTTGCGTGTTCGTTCGCAGGAGCTTTTTCTCTCCCGAGTCTAATAAACTGTGACCCAAATAGTGTTTGTCTTTTATCATGTCCAATGAGCCAAAGATGTAATTAGCTTTAAGACATTATCAATGCTGGCATTCTGGCTTGCTAATGATCACTGTTTAATCTCCCTGCTTAATGTCTTGCTTCGCCACCTCCTCTTTGTGTGTGTGTGGGGGGGGGGCTTGCTCTCGTACTACGCCAACCTTGGGTGTTAGAAAACAAAAAAGACCCCAAGGACAGTCTGGGTCTGTAATTGATAACACTCCACCTGCAGAATCAGAAATTGAAACTGTGTTGAGAGGTAAGAGTAACATGTAGCCTGGATTTTATGCAACATTATGCACAGAGGAGTAATAGGAGTCGCAGTGAAGGAATGCAAACTCAGCTTAGAAGAATCACTGCTTATCATATTTGATGTGGTGCCTGATAGGCAGTTATATAAATAAGACAGATAGGTGGATAGGT